CCCTTCAAGCCACGGAAAGGCATGCTCCTCCCCCGTTGCCCTTGGGCCGGACGCCCCCGCGAGCGCCTTTGCGCGCCGCTTCGCTGCGCCTGCGTCTTTGGCGTAGCGACGCTCCCCCGGCACGCGTTCACCGGAGGACCTCAACCGCTCGCGAGCGGCCCCGACTGCACGGGCCTGCGCCTGCGGTGCCACCCGCGGAGGCCACAAAGAGGCGAGGCAGGCTCCTCTCCCAGTGGCCGGCGGCGGGCGGTTTCAGGTGGGGCTGGGGGCACACGTCCTTGCCGAAGGGGCCACAGCGCGATCCTGGCTCACCTTTGGCCGCCCCCAGTTCACTGCCTGTTGTTTTCCTCCGTCCCTTGCCGCCCGCCCTCCCGCCTGCCTCATCTCGGGGAACAGACAATGACGTAAACATGAATTCTCGGAGGTCCAAGTGGAGTTCTTGGATCGGCGCTGAACCCCCTCCCCGGCGCGCGGAGCACGCCGGTGGCGGCGCCAGAGGGCTCCAGCGCCGATATGAGAATCCCACGCGGGCCATTGGGAGTTCATGTTTAGGCCATTGTCAATTCCACGATCATCCCGCTGGCCTTCGCGTCCCGCCTGCGCGGTTGTCCTCTCTCTATCTCTCTCCCTCGCCAGGCAGCGCGGACTGACAGGGGCGGGGCCAGCGGCCCAGCGCGTGGACCCTGAAACTCCTGGATTTTGGGTGGCCTCTGGCGGGCGCTCTGCTGTGGCGGCTACACAACTGACGCGAGGAGGTGGGGCGTTAGCAGTTGTCCTTCTGTTATGTGGGTGGGTGCTCCTGAAACTTGTTAATGCTTCGCGTGTCCCCGCCAGCAGGTACAGAGCAGATCATGACCTCTCCTGGCGTGCAGAACTAATTCACCCGCACGTGTGCATCAGCTACCCGGGCCGTTTGCAGTCAGCTCAGCCTGTTCAGCTTCAGCCAGCTGCCCCACCGGCGGTAGGTTCTGATTCCGGGCTCGGCCGCTGTGGTCTTTGTCTCGCGCGTTGCTAATTTGATAGGCCCGTGGCCCGGACCTTTCAACTGGCGCTTGCGCTTCCGCTTACGCCCGCGACAAAAAAAGTATCCCCGCCAGTCCCCGCAGAAACGATGCCCAAGGGAGTTGAGGTGATCAGGGCAGCAGGGGGACATGCAGAAGAGCAGGGCAGGGGAAGCCGTCATATGTCCCAAGAGAAGGAAGATGCAGGAGGAATCGTCGTCGCTGGAGGAGGAGGAGGAAGAGGAGGAGGAGGAGGATGAGGAGGAGGAGGAGGAGGAGGGCGACGAGATGAGTAGGGCGAGGACGGGGACGACGACAAGGAGAAGGAGGAGGACGAGGAGGGGGAGGGGGAGGAGGGAGGAGAGAGGAGGAACAGGTGGATGAGGAAGAGGACGAGGACGGCGAGTACAAGAGTCAGAAGACTGCCTCTCGGAGTCTCTTAGGATGTGTCCTGGCAGCTTTTTGGCGGCCATTTGGAGCGTTTTGGGGGCATTTTGGCTGGCCCAGGGCCGTCTTCGAGCGTTTTGGGTGCTCCTGGGGTCCTCTTGAGGTCTTGAGGCTTCTTGGGGGTCTCTTGGAAGCCTCGTGGAACGTCTTGGGCGCCTCTTGGGACCGTCTGGGCGCGTTTTGGGTCCCTCTTGGGGCGCTCTTGGGAGCTTGGGGGGATCTTGGGGCCGCCTTGGAGGACATCGATCAAACACATGGGGGCTTCAATTCGCATCCCCCTTCGGGGGCCCCAAACATCGCCTCTTTTGATGTTTTTTTTGTTGCGGCGTTTTTGGAGCGCAGTTGGGCGCTTTGGGGGCTGTTGTGGGGCTCTGTTGGGCCTATTTTGGTACCCTCTCAGGCCGCTTGGGAGCCATTGAGGCCTCGGATGGCCATCGGAAGCGAAAAAGCGAGACATCAAACAACAGTGATTGTCCTTAGGTTTTTGACGGATGTTGGCCTCCTTGGGGGGCTGTTTGGCCACTTTTAGCCGTCTAGGGGCGGTCTAAGGGCCTCTTGAAGCATCTTGGGGGCCATCTTGGGATACCGTAAGCTATTTTGAGCCATCTCGGAGGTCATCTCGGGCTCTCCGAGACCCTCCTGGAGCCGCCTTGTACCATATTGGACGTTCCAACGCCTCGTCACTAGCCCCACCCAGGTCCAGGGGAATGGGCAGGGGGAGGGGTCAAGACGCCCTCCCCGCCCGCAAGCCGTCTCGCTCACTCCCACCCGCCCTCCCAACACAGACGTAGCACCCGAGCCTGGCCCGAGCCGCAGCATATTCAGCAGTCTTCTTTGGATGAGCAGCTACTGGGGGCGAATCCGCCGCCGCCGCCGCTGCCGCCGCCACCGCCGCCGCCGCCGCCGCCACCGCCACCGCCGCAGCCGCCGCAGGCGCTGCCCCCGCCGCAGCCGCCGCAGCCGCCGCCGCCGCCGCCGCCGCCAAGTGTACTCTGCATTGTTTTTTTGGACAGGGATGGTGGGGGGAGGTCGCATCGGGTTCGCTGCGCGTG